CATACAAATTGTAATCTCCTGTGTAGTACTACAAAGTGCTACAAAGTGTTATTAACATACTACAAAGTATTATTATTTTTTATTATTACTACCCAAGATAACATTCTGTACCCATCTGGCACTCCAATTATTTTGGATGTTGTTTCTGTGATAACTCCACAATTTATTACAGTCTGAACAAGCTATGCATTCAAACAACTAAAAGACAATGCTACCTCTGCTACTTGCTAGATGTTTAACCTTGGATAAAAAACTCTAGCTCTCTGGGACTCAGTTTTCACATCTGTGAAATGAGAGGCTTGGACCATCACAACACAATCCTTATTTATTAATTAACTTATGTATTAGCAACTTTATTGAACTATAATTTACATACCATAAAATTCACCCTTTTTTGTGAAACAAGGTGTCACTCTGTTGCCTAGGCTGGAGTGAAGAGGCACTATCAGAGCTCATTGCAGCCTCAACCTCCCAGATTTAAGCCATCCCCCACCTCAGCCTCTTGAGTAGCTGAGACCACAGGTGCAAGCCACCACACTCAGCTAATTTTTTCTTTAATTTTTTGTACAGATGGGGGTTTCACTATGTCACCCAGGCTGGTCTCAAACTCCTGGGCTCAAGAGATCCTCCCACCTGGGGTTCCCAAAATGTTGGGATTACAGGCTTGAGCCAACCGGGCCCAGTCAAATTCACTCTTTTAAGTATACAATTCAAATAGTTTTAGTAAATTTGGAGTTACACAACCATCATCACAGTGTAATTTTAGAACATTTCCATCATTCCGAAAAGAAACTTCATCCCCATTCCTCATTTAGATAATCTTTTAAAAGATCCTTTCTAACTTTTCCATTTCTAGACTTATAAAGCTTTAGTAGCTCTTTGGCTATTTACAAGTTCAAATTCCTCAGTGTAACATTCAAGGTCCTTTACAATCTATAAAACCTTCACTGTCTTTTTTTTTACCCATACAAATGTAGAAATTACTTTTTTGTGTTAAAACATTCCTTAATGAGCTAGCAATTATTTATGTGAAGGAGAGTCCAGAAAACAGATTTTTGACTAAATTATCCTTGTCCTTGATTAAAGAGATTCATGAATTAAACACATAACGCTATTCTCTAGAGTAGTTACTGAGGTCTAAGAGGCTGTAAACTTGGAAGAGCTTCTCCCTGCCTGTCAGGCTGCTCCCATTAGATCACAAGACAGAATGGACATATTTCTCAGTGTCTTTCATTTTTGGACCTTATGCTTGGCATCTCATCACCTTACTTGATTAAGAGATCCCGGAGGGCAGTTGCCATATCTATATCCAATTATGTATCCTTAACTCCCAATGTGGGATTCTGCATACAATATTTAATAATGATAATAGTAACTGGTAGCTAAATTAAGCATCTACCATGTGCCAGACACTGTTCTAAGCACTTTACAGATACTAATTTATTTAATTCTTATAACAACCCTGTGAGATAGGTACTATTTTTAACACCGTCTTATAGATGAAGAAACTGAGGCAAGAGAGATTACATATTTGCCAAAATCACAAAGCTAGTTAAGTAGCAGAGTTGAGATTTTATTTCAGACAGTCTGGCTCCAACGTACGCACTCTTAAACCACAGCAAATTGTCAAATCAGTTGAAGCTCAATAAATGTTAATTGCATAAAGCCTTATTATTAAGGTTCCATCCCAGGAAAGAAAAGTAATTAAGAATTCTGGGTGCCAACTGACACAGATGTAATGAGGGTAGGGAAAAATACATAGAACAAATTCTGATTCAGACAAGAGAGTCACCAAACTTTAGGGTAGGTCTGAGATGCTCCAAAAATAGTTGTTGAACCCTAAACTATATCTTAGAAAGATAGATCTGTTCTCATACATAGGTGGTGGGAATGTAAAATTGGTAGTGTCTAGCTGAACATGTGCATGTTCTATGACCCAGATATTCCTCTCCTATGGCATATACCAACAAAAATATATATTTAAATCTGTCAAAATGTACTACTGGTAATAGGCAGAACTGGAAATTCCCCATCAACAGAAGAATGGATAAATCGCATGTGGCATGTTAACAAAACATAATATAGCAATGAGAATGACTTATAACTTCAAAAAATAATATGGATAAATCTTTCAAACAATGTTGAGTAAAAGAAGTCAAACACAAAAGAGACTGTATTAATCCATTTATATTAAGTACAACAAAAAGGTAAAATGAACGCATCCTGTTACAGGTCAGTATAGTGGTTTACCCTTAGGAGGGGTATTGACTGGAAGGGGGCATGAAGCAGACTCCTGGTAATGTTCTTTTGGTGGGGGGCAGTTGTTGTTGTTCTTTTTAATCTCAGTAGTGGTTGCACAGGTGCGTCGAGTATATAAGTTTATAGCATAATGAATACTTCCAATCTATACACTTTTCTTTACGTGTACTGTACTTCAATAAATTCTTTATAGTCTTTCTGAGTAGAGAAAAAGACTCAAGCAAGAGCCAAAAATAAAAGTCACTTTTGTACTTGACATGCACAACTAATAACTGACAAACTCAAAGTTATCCCTTTGACCTGAGATGGACAAGGCAGATGTTTCTCTCTTTTGTGGAAACAGTGAGTTAACAAAAGGGAGGCCATTTTAATCCCGAGCCATTAATGCAACCCTAATCCTTTCTAAAAACTGAGGAAAAAACAGATTCACAGCAGCATACCACCTGTGGGCACTCACAGCCCTGCCAGGCAACAAAACAAATACTAATTCTGTTTAAAGAATCAAGTCTTCATTTGGAGTTTTTATTTATATTTCAAGACTAATGACACTATCCATGCAGTACAAATGGATTCTGACCGTGATGCAAATTTAAGTTTTCTTGAGCACAAACCCTATCCCAGCGCCAGTCTGAGCACACCTATCTTTATTTATTAGGCAAGCATTCCACATCTATGGATCTCAGTTTCCTTATCTGTAACATGGGAATAATAATAGTATCTCCTAATAGGTTAATGTAAGGATTGAAGGCATATTTCATGTAAAATATCTAACACAGGGCCTGCCACATAGTTAAATATTCAATATGTATTAGTTGCTATTATAATTTTCATATGGGCCCATTAATGGTTTCTTCTCCCTTCCAATTTTCATACAGCAAGCCCAGTTTATAGTTTCAATCCTTAACAGGGGAATTTTAATATTTTAACACTCAAGGACAAGGGCAGTTCTGCCTCCCCATCTCCCCCAGTTGTCAAAAGAGAGAAAAAAGGAGTATTCAAGTGAGCTGATTTTGAACTAGAGTTTAGGTAGGTTGGGAGAAAAGGGAGTCTGGACAACAGAAGTTCCTTTCTTTTAATGGTACCACCTTCTTATACCATGTCAGAGCACCTCGTACAAATGACATGATCTGGAAACAAAGGGACACAGAAAAAGGCAAGGCTGGCTGTTACAGGGGATGTGGTTATCCTCCACAGAGAAAGGCCCTGAAGAGGAGGGAGTCAGAAAAAGAGGTTGAAGGTTGGAGTTTGTGCTTTGCCCATCAGGCAGCATCAAGGTCTTATGCTAAAAAGTGGGCAAAACATTACTAGTTACAAAAACTCTTTCACACACATCCTCTTATTTAATCCCACACCCATCTTGTGAAGTGAGTCAGGCAAATTTCATTATCCTCATTTGGTAGGTGTATCAGTCCGTTTTCAGGCTGCTGATAAAGACATACCCGAAACTGGGCAATTTATTGCAGGTTTATTGGACTTAACAGTTCCACATGGCTGGGGAAGCCTCACAATTATGGCAGAAGGCAAGGAGGAGCAAGTCACATCTTACGTGGATGGCAGCAGGCAAAGAGAGAGCCTGTGCAGAGAAACTCCCGTTTTTAAAACCATCAGATCTCATGAGACCCATTCACTATCACAAGAACAGCGCGTGAAAGCCCTGCCCCCATGATTCAACCATCTCCCACCGGGTCCCTCCCACAACACGTGAGAATTATGGAAGCTACAAGATGAGATTTGGGTAGGGACGCAGAGAAAACCCCTATCAAAGCTAAGGCTCAGAGAGGTTAAATTTGTCCAAAGTCATTAGCTAGTAGTTGGTGGGGGTGCAGTGGGCAGCACTTTAATTCAAGTCTTCTGGCTTCAAAATCCATGTTCTTTCCATTAAAAACACGCTGGATTTTTTACCAGGACTTTAATTAGCCTGGGCCACGTGTGTTACGATCAACAGGAAAAAATAACGACAGACTAGTTGTGAACTTTTTACTGTTCCCCAGCCCCAAAGAGGAGAAGGAAGGGAAGTGGATTTGAAACAGAAAGGGGCTGGTGTTGGGAAAGGAGGGAGTAGGAACTGGAAAGATGAGAGGAAAAAGTAGCAGAAGCAACTTTAACTCGGGGCTGGCTAAAAACAGGCGACAACTGGCTAGATAAACCTCTTGGGTTTCTCCTACCGGCTGAGCAGGGCCAGATCCACTCTGCCCTAGTCCCCTTCATTTTCTATTGCCCAGCTTTGGCCGAAGAGATGCTGTAGCCCCACAAACCCTCACAGGCATGCCGTGGAGCTGGGGCGAGAGTGGGGGTCTGGGCAGCCCCTGGGGAAGGTTAGTGGCTGGAGGAGCCAAGAGGATGGTGAAGAAACGCTGGATAAAGGAAGTAACTCTGCAGGAGGCAGTGCCATATGGGGTATTCGCGAATGGCGGTTACAAGTGCGGCTAGTATAAAAAGCTGAGATAAGGGTGGGTGTGAGGTCAAGGCTAGGGAGGAGCTGGAGTCAGAGGGACAGAACAGGTGTGCACCGGGCGCGGGGGCGCAGACCACCTCTTTCCCGGCCGCCGACGCCCGCAAGCGGATCCTGAGAAGGGGTGTTTGGTTGAAAAGGGGTGTGGACCCAGAAAGGGAACCCAGGACCCCGCACGGGAAAGACGCGTCAAAAACGGCTGAGAAGGCTGAGGAGGTGTGTCTGGGCTCCCAGGTGAGCACCAAGAGGAAGCTCGCAGCTGTCAGCCTCGCTTAACTCTTCTCCTTACCTTGGGTACCGTAATATGATCCATGACCGCAGTTCCCGCCACCGGAAGATCTCAGTGCTACTCCGGATGCCGCCGCCACCGCTCTAGCCACCCCCTGGCCCAACCCGGGTTTCTACCCCGCCCTCCCGGTCGTATCTCAAACTCTCGTCACCTGATCCTCGGCGGCAGCTCCTATCGCGACACTTTGACCGCAGCCGTTTCCGCCATCTTGCTTCCTGGCAAGTGCCCTTTTCTTCGGGGAATTGATTATTCTGGTTCAGGTTCAACGTTTGGCCCAGTCTTTAAGTCCCAGATTCGAGTACTGCCACCCTTCTCACACTCCTTGATGCTATAAGGGCTCTGAACACAGATGTCAGTCCTTTACTCTAATATTACAATGATAGCATCCTGCAGTGGTAACACAGGCTGCCCCATGCTGGCAATTGGGTTTCTGAAGAGCTTCCTAGATGTGAGACCTTGGGGAAGTCACCAGAGAATATTTTTTGAAATATGGAAAGGTATATCCTCCTCTGTGTCTCTCCTTTATGTGTCTGCTGCCATCAACCTAGTTAAAATCTGAAATACTACAGTAACCTCATCACTTTTGCCATCATAGATATGGGAAGAGGACCAAGGAAGGGCCCACTTGACCAGTTATCAGATGAGGGGTAAATAGGTGCAGACCCTCAGTGGTGTGCTCCAAGTCAGACTTGTGATGGGAAAAAGAACAATCTGAGAGTTGGGAAATCTGGGTTCTACTCCTCTCAGGTCTGCCACTAACTTGCTATGTGACCTTGGGGAAATCACTCCACCTCTCTGAGTCTTAAGTTGACCAAGGTTACAGTGAGGGTATTGTCCACTATCTCAGGGTAATTTCTAGCTCTACTATTGCAGTGTTATGGTTTGCAGTCTCACTGCCCCTACAAAATAATTTTGTTCTTCTTTGAGTTCTTATAACATTTGCTAGCAAAACTATCCGTTTATCATATTCTGCCTTTTTCTCTAGCCTGAAGGCCCTTCCCTCGATCCATGACACTATTCTCCCTTGTACCATCGTTCCATCATTTTCAGCCCTTTCACTGCCAAATATCTCAAAAGAATAATCTACTTATCATCACCTTCACTTCTCCATAACAAACTCACTCCTCCCTACCACTCCACTCAATTGGCTCTTTCACATCATCCTCAATTCCAGCTGCTGATTCCAAACAGCTCTTCTCAGTGCTAATTTTCTGTTTGTCTTACAGCATTTAAAACTATTGATTCATATTCCTTTTTGACATTCTTTCTTCTCTTGACCTTTATTATAAAGCAAACTCACTGCCTGCATCCCCAGCTGTTCCTTCTCTGACTCCTTCCCAGCTCCTTTCTCCTTTTTTAAAGCCATTTTCCTGGCTTCTATCCTCATTCCTCTTCTGTTTTCTTTCTTTTGGTTATCGTGATCTCTTCCACAAGTTAAACCCTTACTCCCGGATATGGCCTGGATCTGTGTCCCCACCAAATCTCATGGCTAATTGGAATCCCTAATGTTGGAAGTGGGACTTGGTGAGAGGTGATTGGATCATGGGGGTGGTTTGTTCTGAATGGTTTAACACCAGCCTCTTTGGTATTGTTATTGCCATAGTGAGTGAGTTCTCACGAGATCTTATGGCTAAGAAGTGTGTGGCACCATCCCCTGCCCACTTTCCTCCTGCTCTGGCCATGTGAAGTGCCTCACTCCCCATTTGCCTTCCACCATGACTGGAAGTTTCCTGAGGCCTCCCCAGAACCAGAAGCTACTATGCTTCCTGTACAGCCTGCAGAACAGTGAGCCAATTAAACCTCTTTTCTTTATAAATTACCCAGTCTCAGGTATTTATTTATAGCAGTGTGAAAAGGGGCTAATGCACCCTCAGTAGGGGATTCCCAACTTCATATCTCAAGTACCATGACCTTTTTCGTGAGTTCAAATTTAGAACTTCCAATTGCCCTCTGAAAGTTCTACTTGCGTGTTCCTGCTAGCACATTAAAGGCATCCTGGCCCAAAACAAACTCATCTTTCACACTCTCTCACAACCCCCTTGCATTTTCCTACCTCTACCACTTGCTCTTTCTCAATTTTTTCCTATCCCTACTAATTGCACCACCATATACCCTGTTACTCAGACTCAAAACCTTATTTCGATGCTGTTTAGGATAATGGAAAGGGTGTGTGGACTCTAGTCAGACCAGGTTCAAATTTTGGCTTAGCAATATGCTAATAATACATGGCCCTGGGCAAATTACACAAACTCTCTGTGCCTTAGTTTTCTCATCTATAAACCTATTCTCATAAATTTCTTGTGGGAACTCAAAATGTAATGTATGTGAGGTTCCGGGAACATTGTAAAGACACAATGAATATTGATAGGTTCCTTCCTTTCCTCAACTTTATCATCAAATATCTCTGTTTTCTCTCTCAAATGCTTACCTTGCTTCCTAGTTTGCTGATAAAATAGAAACTATAAGAAGGGAACTTCCACATCATCCCACAACCAAATTTGCTTGATGCCTTGCATGTGAGCTCATATAATCTGTCTTCAATTAACGAACTCTTCCTCAGCATCCCGAAGGCAACCCTTCCACTTGTCCACTCAATTTCATTCTCTTTATCCTGCTCAATTGTTTCCTTGCCTTTATTACTAAATGTTTCCACTTTACTGGATCACTGCCATCAGCATGAAAGCATGCCATAGAATTTCCAATCTTAAAAAAAATCTTTTTGGACCCACATTTCTGTCCCCAACCTGCCATCCTCCCATTCCTCTTATACTTTATAGCAGAACTCTTCAAAAGATTTATCTAAATCCATTCTCTTCTATTCCTGTCCTATTTTCACTTTAAATCTCTCTAATCAGGCATTTCTTCCACCACTCCACCAAACTATTCTTGTCAAGGTCACCAATATTCTCCCCATTGCAAAGTCCATTGGTCATCCTCAGATCTCTTTTTGTCCTCTCAGCAGTATTTGATCACTCCCTTCTCATTGAATACATTTTGTTCACTTGGCTCCAGGGATAGGGATACCACTCTCTCTCCTACGTCACTGACTTCTCATTCCCAATCTCTTTTGCTGTTTCACTTCATTTTACCTATCTCTATATGTTGTAATGCTGCCAGAGCTCAGAATTATCCTCTTCTTTATTTACTCTTATTCCTTGGGTGCTGTCATCCAGTGCCATGGCTTTAAATAGCATCTATTTGTGGACAACTCCCAAAATTTTATCTCTAATCTTTATCTGTCCTCTGAACTCAAAACTTACATAATATTCAGCAGCCTACTGACATGTCTCCTTAGATATCTTAAAGACATCTCAAACTTATTACATCCAAAACAGATTTTTTGACTCTTTTATTTTACTTTATTTTATTATTATTATACTTTAAGTTCTAGGGTACATGTGCACAACGTGCAAGTTTGTTACATATGTATACATGTGCCATGTTGGTGTGCTGTACCCATTAACTCATCATTTATATTAGATGTATCTCCTAATGCTATCCCTCCCCCCTCCCCCAACCCCACGACAGGCCTCAGTATGTGATGTTCCCCTTCCTGTGTCCAAGTGTTCCCATTGTGCAATTCCCACCTATGAGAGACAACATGCGGTGTTCAGTTTTCTGTTCTTGCTATAGTTTGCTGACAATGATGGTTTCCAGCTTCATCCATGTCCCTACAAAGGACGTGAACTCATCCTTTTATATGGCTGCATAGTATTCTATGGTGTATATGTGCCACATTTTCTTAATCCAGTCTGTCACTGATGGACATTTGGGTTGATTCCAAGTCTTTGCTATTGTGAATAGTGCCTTAATGAACATACGTGTGCATATGTCTTTATAGCAGCATGATTTATAATCCTTTGGGTATATACCCAGTAATGGGATGGCTGGGTCATACGGTGTTTCTAGTTCTAGATCCTTGAGGAATCGCCACACTGTCTTCCACAATGGTTGAACTAATTTACAGTCCCACCAACAGTGTAAAAGTGTTCCTATTTCTCCACATTCTCTCCAGCACCTATTGTTTCTTGATTTTTTAATGATCGCCATTCTAACTGGTGTGAGATGGTATCTCATTATGGTTTTGATTTGCATTTCTCTGATGACCAGTGATGATAAGTATTTTTTCATGTGTCTGTTGGCTGCATAAATGTCTTCTTTTGAGAAGCATCTGTTCATATCCTTCACCCACTTTTTGATGGGGTTATTTGTTTGTTTTCTTGTAAATTTGTTTGAGTTCTTTGTAGATTCTGGATATTAGCCCTTTGTCAGATGAGTAGATTGCAAAAATTTTCTGCCATTCCTAGGTTGCCTGTTCACTCTGATGGTAGTTTCTTTAGCTGTGCAGAAGCTCTTTAGTTTAATTAGGTCCCATTTGTCAATTTTGGCTTTTGTTGCCATTGCTTTTGGTGTTTTAGACATGAAGTCTTTGCCCATGCCTATGTCCTGAATGGTATTGCCTAGGTTTTTTTGTAGAGTTTTTATGGTTTTAGGTCTAACATTTAAGACAATCCTAAGCCAAAAGAACAAAGCTGGAGGCATCATGCTACCTGACTTCAAACTATACTACAAGGCTACAGTAACCAAAACAACGTGGTACTGGTACCAAAACAGAGATATAGACCAATGGAACAGAACAAAGCCCTCAAAAATAATACCACATGTCTACAACCATCTGATCTTTGACGAACCGCACAAAAATAAGAAACAGGGAAAGGATTCCCTATTTAATAAATGGTGCTGGGAAAACTGGCTAGCCATATGTAAAAAACTGAAACTGGATCCCTTCCTTACACCTTATACAAAAATTAATTCAAGATGGATTAAAGAATTTTTGATTTCTACCTGAATCCTCAAGCCTGCTCTTTACACAGTATTACTCATCTCAGGAAATTGCAACTTTATCCTTCCAGTTTATCCTGGTGCATTTGTGCTGCTAAAACCAAATACTCTAGACTGGATAATTTGTACAGAACAGAAATGTACTTATCACAGTTCTGAAGGCTGGCAAATCAAGCTTAAGGAGCCAGTAGCTTCAGTGTCTGGTAAGAAGGGCTGTCTTTACTTCCAAGATGGCATCTTAAATGCTCTCTGGAGAGATGAACGCTGTATAC